GGAAGTGATTAGGCAGGAGGAGACAGGAGCTTGGTCTCTTTCCAGTCTGAGGATTTTGTAGAGGTAAGAGCTCTAATGGCTTGGCTTCTCTGCTTCTATGATCTTTCAGCTTTCACTTCCCAATATCTGACTCCAGTTTTTTACTATTAAGACCAAATAGAACTCATGCTATAGCAGGCAGGAAGGCAAACTACATATCTGATATTTAGTTTGTGAAGAAAAGCTATGGGTCACAGCAGATCCCAGCAGAAGCATGCCTCAGTGATGGAAGAGGTGGGAGGAAGGCACTGAGCAAGCTCACATAGGCCATTGAAATAACAGAACCATGCTGTCAACAAGCCCACAGAAGCCTCTATCCAGATGCCAGGAATAAGTCATCAGTAACCACAAAAATCCCTGAAATTGGAACCATGAGGACACACAAAAGTCAGTAATATAGGCAAAAGGAATTATGTATAGCACCCCAACATGACCCCTGAGCTCACCCTTCAGGGCCACACGGTTCCGGCGGATGGCCATGATGGCATTTCGGATATCCTCCTCATCAGCGTTGGAGCTCACATGTACCTCTTCAAAGTCCACTGGCACACATGCATGCCTGCAGTAAAGCCATGCTAAAGAGGCTGACCTTTCACACCCCTTCCTGAAGCCTATATCAGTGTTTCTCCTGCTGGCTTCCCACATTGACCTGGCTCCAGCTAAGAGGGAACTGGACCCACCCATGCCAAACATGAGGGGGGTCACAGTGGACTTCCACAGGATTGGTGTCACTTTCCTTGTGCCCAGGTCAGCTTAGCAGGATGAGAAACATTGGGAAACAAGGCCTGGGTTTACAGGCTGGCTTTTATGCCACCACCCCAATAGGTTCTTGGGTAAAGCTGGTGGGCTTCTGAGTTCCCTGTGCATCTTGACACAAGGTCCTTGAGGGCTTCCAGCTTGGCCTAGAGTACAACCCTCCCTGGGAGAGAAGTTAAGGGAGAAAGATCCAGGCCCTCCATACCTGAATACTGATTTAACATGCAACATGAGCTCCGGACCAATGCCATCCCCTGGGATCATAGTCACTGTATGTCGCCCACCATACTTAGCAGATGGAGGCTAGAAGAAGGGAGAGGGCGAAAGTGAGCCCTTGGGTACACCAATGTGCACCCTGACTTGAGTTCCCTCCTTCCCGCCAGTACCAATCCCACAGGCCAGCCAAGGCAAGCTTGCTGTTCTGGGGCTCCTGATCAGCAACTACCACAACCCCAAGCCCACCTGGACTTGGAATAACCCCAAAGCAACTAAAAGCCCCTCAAATCTAATATAGAGAATACTCACAATTGTTTGTTGCTAGAAGGAAGACAGAAAAGAAGAAGACACGGATCAGCTAAGGTTGTAGGAACAAGGGTGTGGCCAGGGAACTGGGTTCTTTTCACTGGGGATTCTGTCTAGCACAACTCAGAGGCAAGGTGTGAGTGAGTGACCTCTAGAGACTATGCCTCAGGGGGAGGGCCAGGGAGCAACATATAGTCATGTGTGCATGGGCACATATACACATAGTACACACAGTCTCATACACATTATGTGCCCACACGGAAATACATGAGCACAGTTCTCCCCCTCACATGTATATGTGCATGTGCAAACACACATCCAAGACAGGTACTTACTGAGGAAATGCTCCTCCAGGGAGTCTCATTGGCACCTAGAACCTGTCAAAGAGAACCCATATGCCAATGTTAGCTATTCAATCCCAAAAGTCAAGTTCAAAAGAGCTAACTTAAGCTCTTGGCAGAGAGGAAACGATAACCAGTAAACAACAGTTCATCATATGCCTAGGCCATTCCAAAGCCTCCATTCCCAACAACTGTTCCACAAATGGAACAGGGGCTCTGAGCAATAATTTCATTATGTCTTTCCTTATTAGAAAGCCAGTACATAGTCACTATAATAAACACAAATAGGGAGGTAAGCAGGATATAGCACTCCACTGCCCTGGGATAGCACTGTCACCCTAGGGAATGACCCTTCAAAACAGATAAAAAAAATGCCTAGAAAAACACAGCCATTTCTGGAGGACTGATAACAGATAGAAATTTCTAGGATGACTTTCACAAGGGACTGCAAGCTGCTTTGTGGTGTATCCTGGATGGATGATAAATGTTCCCAATCCCATGACTGGGAAGCAGTCATGTTTGGCCATGCTGGTGACACTTTGACAGTTTCAGATAAAAAGTTATTTGGGACAAATGGGCTAGGTGCTAAGAAGTAATCCACTGTCCTCAGCTCTATAGGAAAGCTTTCCTCCCCTTCCTGCAATGCCCCACTCACTTAGGAATACCAGAGGAGGCACTGGCACAACACAGCTAAGTTCTTCCTTGTAACTTAGAGATTCTCTGCCATTCACCCACCAGTTGGAATATTCTATTCAATAATAGAGACACCACAACCATTTTCTAAAAGACCCTGTCTTCTTTATGTCTTCGTTACAGAAGACCAGAAGGTTGATCTTTTCTCTCTGGGTTCATCTAGCCCACAGTTACAAGAGACCCAGTTACCCTGGCACTAGCAATGCAGGAATGCCACTCAATGGCCCAAGCCGAAAACTAGGAAGGCTGACTACTAGGACCAGAGCCCCAAGGGTCCCTTACTACATATGTACATGCATACTTGGAATTTCTTTTTCTTTTTAGTACTTGCCAACATCAGATTCATCTTATCTGCATGGTTTCCATACCTTATATCACAAGGTAGCATAGATAGCCCTTCCTCCTGGCAGCCTTCCTTGAACTGTTAAATTCTACTTATACCGTACCCCTACCCATCTAAGAGACATAACTCTACCTGATTATCACCTCTCTGCTCTCTTCCTAGCCTGAGAACAGAACACACGTATGTCTCACTCCCCACTGTCACTCCAAGACCAAGCACAGTGCCTGGCCCAGTGCTGGAAACATAAGGAACATTTCCTAAGTGAATAATAAGCACATTAGAAACCAAAGAAACAGATGGAGTCCTAGGATATTTGAGTCCAAATTCACCATCTGCTACTCTTGAAATGGCTTTGTGTCTACATCAAAATCCATGGAATAGAAGCCCGGCATGACAGCATACATTTGTAGTCCTAGCACCTAGGAGGATCAAAAATTCAAGATCATCCTCATCTACATAGCAATTTCAAGGCTAGCCTGGGCTACATGAAACTCTGCTTGAAAAAAAAACAAGGAGGGGGGGATAATTAGTCAATCCATGGAATGAAGGCACCAACTTCATTTAACTACTGGAAAGCTTAATCATGCAAGTTGTTCACAAGCCCCAGCAGGATGGAGCTGAGCTAAAGTATACCACCTCTCACTCTACCAGCTTCTCAGAGATGTCAGTTCAAAGCTAGTGTCCTTGAGAGATGCAAGGCTGACCCCTGTAACTCCCAGCAGTTAATTCTTCCTGAACTTCAGCTGTGACAATGTGCCAGCCTTCTAAGGGCTTGCACCAGGTGTGGCTCACAATCTATGCAACCCTGCTCACAGAAGGCAACATCACTGCCAGGGCTGAACCTGTCCTACAGATTCCTCCTGTGCCAGATGTTACAATGGACTCTGACCTAGTCTCAGAAAACTCCCCAAACACAGACCCCTCATCTTGCTCTATACAAATGTGGGTTGTTTCTTTTAGAGGGTTACAAAGCTCTCCCTCATGAACCCAGGTTGTCCAATCAAAGAAGCCCAGTATGTGGCAGGTTGAGGAGTTGAAGTCCATATTTTAAATAGAATTTCATAAAGCATATGCAGCTCCCTCCCCCAGAGAACAGAGGAGAGAAACATAGTAAGTAGAAAAGGCTGTAGGCAACATGGAGTTCTAGAAGGTCAGAGTTGGCAAATGTTTTGAGAACATGAAATCCTCTCTCCTCACTGGACAGAGGGAAACTGGAGCCTAGAGAGAGAGAGAAGAGAATTGGCCTAACGCCATGTTCTGGGTCAGTGGGAGAGAAAAGCCTGGAGGTCATAGCTCTTATTCCCTAGAGCTAGTTGTTGGCTTGCTGGTGCTAAGTCGTGCTAACCAGGACCCCAAAAAGAAAACCGAAAAAGCAAAGCCCCAGTGGCTTCTAGTCGCAGAACCCTTGTTAAGTCTCATTACAGGGCGTTTAGGCTTGTTTGTTGGCTTTTTGGCTAGAATCAGGTGTCAAGCCGCTTGGGAGGTAGGGGATCTGGAGCTGTAAGAATGTAAGAGAGGGATCAAGAGTCACTGAAGCCGGGCGTTGGTGGCACACATGTTTAATCCCAGCACTCAGGAGGCAGAGGCAGGTGGATCTCTGTGAGTTTGAGGCCAGCCTGATCTACAGAGCGAGTTCCAGGACAGCCTCCAAAACAATACGAAAACATTGGTAAAGGCTGATTCTCCACCTCCACTAGGCCAGGTGACAAAGCAGGAACTGAGTCTGGGAACCAGACACCAACCTAGGTGGGAAGGGCAAGACAGGCCAGGACACGTGACCTCTTCAAAAGGGCTTTCACAAGGACGCCAGGAAGAGGACACCCAGCCACTGCGGTCCACCTTTTCAGTTCTTCCAGAGCCCCTGTCACCAGTCGCAGACCCCCTCCCCCTTCGTAGAGCCAGAGCAGAGTCAACTTCAGCCAACCTCAATGACAACAAAAGCAACCAATGAACCCCAGAGTGCAGCCCTCTCCCCGCCCCTCCTAAGGCCCGTACAGCCAATTGAACTCCAGGTTGCTCAAAGAGCAATTACCCCACTCCGGGTCTCAATGGGGGTGTGAAGTCCCCCAGAGACCCCTGCAGCTATCCCACCGCCCATTCACCGCTCACCTCCCAAGGACGGCAGAGGAGAGCTGGCCTGAACACTGCCTTTGCAGCACCTCCAGCTGCTATCGCCACCTTCAGCGCCATGACGAAAAGTGAGAACCTCTACAGGTCAAAACGTTAAGACACCGGTCTCGCGAGAATTCGGCACAGCGAGAGGTCCGGGATACAGAGTAAGAAAAGGGAGCACTACGCACGCGCAAGGTTTCACGGGTTCCTACGCCCCCTTCCGGTGCTTTGAGCACTGTTGCCGCCATCTTGTTGGAGAAAGAAGGAGGGAAGTACGACCAGTTGGGACCGTGGCTGGGGAAGCGGACACGTCAGTGCCTCCAGCGACGTCACCAGGTTCGGCCCAGCCCGCCGGCGCACGATTGGGTGCTGAGGCCGCTTACGCGTCGCGCTTCCTCGTCTGCTCCGCATGTTCAGGGCGGCTTGCTCTCTTTTCCTTTCGGCAGAGAAGAGGCGATGGCGGCGATGGCATCTTTCGGCGCCCTGGCACTACTCCTGCTGTTCGGCCTATCTTGCTGCTCAGGTAGCGGCCTGGCCGTAGATTTTTTCGGGCGAGCCTCTGTCCCATGGCAGGTGGTGCTGGGGGAGGAAGGGTGCGCGCGAGTCGGGGGTCTGGCCCTTCCCGGGGATCGTCGCTACTGGGATCTTCCTCCGCTGGGTGGCGTGGCGTGGCGACCGAAGCACTACATACACGTTTATCCGGCAGCCAGACTGCTGGAAGAAACAGCCAAATCCTTCCTTGCCTGCTTTTGGGAGAGCCCCAAAGCCGCACCATGCTAGGGGCATCAGATCCAGGCGGGGTTCCTGTGTCAGAAGGTAGTCGCACAAGAGCAGTGTTTATCAGCACCTGGCAGTCCCTGTGTGAGAAATAGTGTTGCCAGAGAGTAACCAATGCTGCATAGGCCAGGTTTCCTCAAAAGAAAGCTAAGAGGAAGCATGGACTCTCCAGACAGAGAAGCACAGTAAGCGCCTGAGGCAAGTTAGACAGGAGGCCAAAGAAGCCAACAAGGGCTTTCACTGCCCAGAACCTTTATTTTCCATGAGGCCCTGATATATCTATCCTAAGGTTTATAGTAGAATTGAGCTGTGCACAGATCCATTGATATTTGTGAGCCGTTTGTAACACCTGGTGATTGGGTTGAGCTCCATCTGGAGTCCAGACGTTTGTTTTGGAAGTTTTTAGAGTGCCTGAGACCTGAGAGCCGAGATTGAGTAGGACTTGGCTTCTATACATACAAGGTAGCCTTCCTCTATCCTTCCTACTCATATCTCAGGGAGTCACCCAGTCTTGCTAACAATACCTTAAAAGACACACCTGGCTGTAAAACCTATTTAGAGGTTCCACAGGAAAAAGGCCCAGCCTAGCAGGGCACAGAAGGGTTCGAACACATCACATTTAGAAAATAGTTGGATGAGGACTTTGTCATTTAGTGTTTACTTAATACTCTGTGACCATGTTTCCTCAGAGGTGCTTAGTATACAGGGGCAGTTTGGTTGTTGGGGTCCAGAGTTAACTTCTCTCATGAAACACTAGGACCTTTTTTCTTTCTTTTTTTTTTGGTTTTTCGAGACAGGGTTTCTCTGTGTAGCTTTGGAGGCTGTCCTGGAACTAGCTCTGTAGACTAGGCTGGTCTTGAACTCACAGAGATCCGCCTGTCTCTGCCTCCCAAGTGCTGGGATTAAAGGCATACGCCACCAATGCCTGGCAGGACCATTCTTGATATTGGCAGCTGGCTGGGTCTAAAGACCCTTATTTTGAAAGCCTTGTGTGTTGTCAGCACCCCACTTAGTGGCTGAAGAATGTTTTCATTAAGCTATTGAGGCAGTACATGTCTCTGAATTGGGTGTCTTGGTCCACTGCACTTCTGCAGTGCTCCAGGCCCCTTCAGTCCTCATGTTTTTGCTTCAAGGTTCACCTCTGCACAACCTTCCCTATCCCACCTTGGCCTGTCTCAACATCACTGGCCTCTTCCATTATACTAGAGACTGAGTACTAGGATCCACCTCCCAGACCCCACCTGTCAGGACCAGAAGGACTTGTGTGTCCTCAGCTCACCAAATCTGAGAGGCAGATCCTGGGTAAGCCCTTTTGCTTTTTCCCTGGAACACACAAATTGGCTTTGCCTCCTCCCCACAGCAGAGACCTGCCTGGAGCCCCAGATCAACCCTTCTTACTATACAACCTCAGATGCCGTCATTTCTACAGAGACTGTATTCATCGTGGAGATCTCACTGACTTGCAAGAACAGGGTTCAGGTGAGACAGTAGGGACTAAGCAGAGAGGGTGTAGGGGAATAGCTGAGGGTGGTAGTGCTCTTCACTGGCACTTGACAGTGACCTGAGGATCCTATCAACAGGGACAATAAGGATTCCAATTCACAGGGTGAAGGGGAGATGAGGGCACAGTGAGGCCAGATCCTACCAAGTACTTCAAGAGCATTTTCCTGACCTGCTTGGTATTCTCTGCCTCTGTGCAGTAATGTGGGTAGATACCCCACTATTTCTTGGATGAATGTCTGGAACCGGAGAAAGAACTAGGGTCAGGCCCCATGCTCCTCCACCTTCTTTCTGGTTGCAATTTACCTGAGTGTGTGTCTGTATGAATGTTCTGTAAATTTAAAATTGAGAATTCCAAACTCAACCCCTGACCTGCTCTTCCACAAATCTAAAAGAAATTGGACCTTTTGAGGGACAATACTGCTAGGGTTAAACACCTCATTTGGCACCTCTCAATCAAAATTCAAGAAAAAAAAACAAGGCCGTTTTTATCATCCTACCCCTGTGTACAGCTAATGGACTTGCTATGTGTTACGTTAAGCTGGTCATAGGGGAGATCTAGCTCTAGTCACATCTACAGAAACAGTTGAAGGAAGATTGTGACAGTATCCATGGGTGTGGCCTGTCATGGCTCTGGGCAGTGGCAGGCCTTTTTTCTTGGGTCTTCCATAGCAACCCCTACCAAAAAATATAGCCCTCAACTGGCCTACTCTTCCTAGTCATGATACTGCTTTGGGCAACAATAGGGGTTCTGTGTATGCCTAGTGAAGGGAGGAAAATGTTACTCTTGATTTGTTGTCCTCACCCCCATCCAGAACATGGCTCTTTATGCTGACGTTGGTGGCAAACAGTTTCCTGTAACCAGGGGCCAGGATGTGGGCCGATATCAGGTAAGGGATACTGAATCCAGCGTTGTTGGGGAAATGGCTCAAAGCAGGGTCATAGACCAAACACTCAGGCACTGCTCATAGTAGTGCTGTGCCAGCAGTAGCACAGTAGTCCCTCATGTGTCTTGTTAAGCTCACCCTTTACCAAATACCCAACCAGGTTTCATGGAGCCTGGAGCACAAGAGCGCCCACGCAGGCACCTATGAGGTCAGATTCTTTGATGAAGAGTCCTATAGCCTCCTAAGGAAGGCAAGTATCATCTGGGAACTCTGAGGCCCCCAAGGAGGGAGGGCACTCTAGGGGCCTAGTTTAGATGGAGCAGGAGTGGGTGCCTTCTTGCCCCTCCTTCATTTGTCTCTTGCTTATTTCTGCCTTATCTGGACAACCTATCCAGCACCTTTTGACCCCAGCACCTCCCTTACAGGCTCAGAGAAATAATGAGGACGTTTCTGTCATTACACCCCTGTTTACGGTCAGTGTGGACCATCGGGTAAGTGGCCTTGTCTTAGGAGCAGAGAACATAGGGCACACCTCATCTTTTTGGACTAGGTCTAAGGGAAAGCTCTCATTCTCTGCAGACCAACTTTTGGGCTATCACTGATCTCTGTCCTGAGGACAAGTAATTAAGATTGTCTGGTCTATTCTCCTGAGCTGTCTTTTGGTCTTTTCTTGTAGGGCACCTGGAATGGGCCTTGGGTCTCCACGGAAGTGCTGGCTGCAATAATCGGCATAGTGATCTACTACCTAGCCTTCAATGCAAAGAGCCACATCCAGGCCTGAGGGCAGCATCCTCAGAGCTCTATTGCTTCTTTCAATAAACAGTTGCTATTTGCCATGAGTAGATTTAAGACATGGGGTCCTATGTCCATAGGGAGAGCTGGGGATCCAACTACCCTTATCCACCTGGACAGTAGAGATGCTGAGTGGAGAACTGTACTTTCCCCAGTGTTCTGTTTTCTGTCATTACCCTGATTGCCAAAATGGCTTGGACTTTGGCCTTATCTTTTCTAGTGTTTGACCTCTTTGTAAAAGAACATCTTTTTAACAAGACAGTGGTGATACACACCTTTAATCCTAGCACTTAGGAGATAAAGGCAGGTGGATCTCTGAATTTGAGGCCAGCCTGTTCTATAGTGAGTTCCAGGACAGCGAGAGCCATACAGAGAAGCCCTGTCAAAAACAAAGAAAAGAACAAAAGACTCTTCCTTGTCCTCACCAGTTCCCCAGAGCAAAGCTGGGTCTCCATCTGGCTCCTTGTCAGGAAGTCTTCCCATGGCTAGCCTAGGGTAAGCAGGACCCTGTTATTCTTTAGGACTACTTTGGGCTGGAGGCCTCCTTTACTACACCTGTGGTTGGGAATGGCATCTTTCCATAGAGAGAAGGCAGGGGCCTTTGCTAGTCCTCTCCCCCAAGTTCATCAGTCAGAACCATCAAAACCAGCCTTATCTTTGTGGTGGGGACAGTCATAAGCTACATGCAAATGCTTTTGTGCTTTGCTTGCTTAGCACTGATGCCCTGTCTTGCTGATGCAGTTGAAGTCGTCACATGTACCAGCTGCCCTAAACATCAGGAACACTCCTGGACTCCTAACACTAACTACCCCATGTTGCTTCCTGTCCCGCTGCTGCTCACAACATCTAGTTTAGTGCTGGATCTTTGAAGATCAGCCTCCCAGACCTCCAGGATTATGTTCCTTCCCTAGTGAGGTCTCTGCTATGAGCGTGTAAGGGCCTGTCAGGAAGCCTTGCTTGTACTCTGCTCAGGTTTTAGCACAAGCTGGGCACCAGCCACTTGAATAGTGCTTAGTACTGTGGAAGACTAGTTGGGGGAAAGAGGCTGGATGCCAAGTCCCAAGTAAACCCATCTCACTGTATGCTTAATGTCATGTTTCTAATGCTATCTAGTCTCCAGGATAGAACATTAGAACAGCTGGCCACACGCTAGTACCTAGGCTTAGGAAGTATTAGAGGCTCCTTAACTTCTGTGGCAAACAGTGGAAGGGTTGTGTGTTGACTGGGGATGTTGGAGGTGTCATAGAGCACATAAAAGCAGCTTATATGACCCAGGTTCATTCAAGCAAGGGGTCTGCCATCTCCAATTCTTGGGATGAATCTGGGATGCACTATAGAGTGGTGCTGAGGGTCTGAGAATTGGATAACTGGAGAGCTGCAAATTCAGGTAAGGCCAGAGATGGGAAGAGTAGCTCCTCTCCTTACCTGCTGAAGTACAAATGACTGTTCTGACATGAGCCTTTATAGTCAGCCAGACAACAGCTATTGGCCAACCAGTTGCTCTTTCTGGTTCTGGCACCACCTGGCCAGATAGAAATGATAGCTAAATGTGAAGTTGGTATTCCAGGGTTATCAGTAACTCAGTGCTGCCAGCCCTCGTTGATGCCACCTCTCCCAGAGCCAGTCAAGGCAGCATAAGCTTCAGAACAGTATCAGCCTATATCCTGGTCCTGAGACCCTGCCACCATACAACAATGGGATTACTCCAGAGCTCTCAGTAGCTGGAGGAATACTTGGCCTTGGTCTCCTTCACTGGGAAGGGGTAGGGAACTGGAGATGTCCCTACAAGCATCTGGAGCCAGTACCTAGCCCTCTGCTCTCCTCTTACCACCACTCCCTACAAGTCTCTTTCCCCTCCCTATTCACCAGCAGGGCTACAATGTGCATTTCCACCCAGAGCTATTTGAGTGGCAGGGAGATGAGACAGTGTCCTTGTGACCCAGCCTTCCCAGCAACAGGACTCAAGCTTCTGGGAATGGGCCCCGAATTTCCGACTCACATCCATCTTGGCATCTTGCCCACCACCAACTTGCTCAGAAATCTGGGCATTTAGGAACTAATGAATTGCCGTCTCCCAGCACAAGCAGCATGATGGCAATGAACACGGAGTCCAACAGAGTAAAAAGGCAGCTTGCTTTATTCTTGGGGTGTAGGTGGGGAACAGGGGTATCCAGTAGCCTCCAATACAAATTTCACCAAGCTTGAGAGGCACCCAACAAGTGGCACATTGGAAAGTTGCATCACTGAAAGAGGTTCTAGGCTTCTCTCATTCAGCCCACTTTCCTTTCACTGGGTCCAGGCCTCCCAACTCCTACCAGATCTTCTCTAGGCTAGGTGAGGTCTTCTGTGGTGCCCATTAGGTTTAGCTTCTTAAACCCCTGGACATCTAAGCTCCTTGGCTCAGGCCACTAAGAGTGGCTCTGCTCTAGATGGCATAGGCCAGGGGTCAGCAAATTCTTTTTGGGTGGATATTGTACCCACAATCCCTGTGATTTTCATTTTCTTACAGTCACTAGGGAAGGAGGTGGGTCCCATGGGTGTGCCTTGAGAGCCAACTCAGATGCTCCCTGCCACCCCTCAGAGTAGAGACCACCAGAACAGCTGCTTCCTATTCTTCCCCAACCCCTTCCTTTCCCTCCCACCCAACCCTCCCTCCTTTCCTCCCCCCCAACCTCCTTCCCAGCCAGCATTCAGTGGGATCCACCTTTGTCAGGCTGCCTGAAGGATCTGCCAACCCCCAAAGCAGGTCCACAAAACATAAAACTATTGGCAAGCACAGAAAAGGGGAAAAAACATAAAATTCAGGGTTGCCTTTGTCTACAAATAACTGCGGCTTCCAGGGGGGTGGGGAGAGGCCATGCTCAGCAAGAAGCTGGTCATTCTCTTGTGCTTAGGATAGTCCACCTCACCTCTCTCTGTACTGACTTCCCTGTCTCCAAGAACAAACCAAGAGCACTGTGTGCACACACAAACATGCATGCACACACAGGCGCCCTTTATGGGTCTACCCTCTATGCTGGCTGTTGGCATAGCCTCTTGGGGAGAAGGAAATAGGTGGTGAGAGAGAAGCATCCCTTTTAGGGGCTTCCTATTACCAAAGTCCTGTGCACAAATACAGATACATGAGTGTGCATGAGCACAGCGTGCAAGCACACACAGACACACACTAGATTCTAAGGGAGGGTGAAGGTCAGGCTCTCTAGGCCTGGGCTGGGCTCCTGCTGGGGCAGCTCAGACAGTGGTAACAGAGAGCAGAGGGTTGTAGATCCTTTTTCCATCAGCCGAGCGGGCACCGTGGGCCAGCATCTCTTGGATGGTGATCCAGTTGTCCAGGATCTTCTTGTTGCGCTTCTTCATGGTCTTACGGTGACTCAGTGCAATGATGTTGAGCTCAGGCTTGCTGTCACCGTTCTGCTGCTCCCTTAGACACTCCAGGCGGCTCTGCATCATGAACTCACGCCGCTTCCTTTGCTCCCGTGCTCGGATCAGGTGTTGCTTTCTCTCTTCCTTGCTCCAATAGCGACCCATCTTCATCTCACTTACTGCATCATCATCAGTGGTCATGCCGCTGCGTTCCTCACGGATCTTCAGGGCCCTAGCCTTCAGCAACCGATCTCGCACAGGCCGCTTTGCCACGTATCGGGTTCCATCACTTCGCACCTTCACCTTCCATTCCATGCGGGGTGCTTCGACAGCTGCAGCCACCACCCCACTCACCCGAGGACCACTAGCCAAGCTCAAGGAGCCATGGCCCAGATCCTCCAGTGTGCGTGGTGGGGCCAACTGCACACAACTGTGGTAGTGCTCACTCTCCTGGGCATGATGACGCCTGGAGAGGTAAGGGCTGCCTTCAGGGCCTACACGCTCCAGTGTAACCCCTGTCTTGGCACTGCGGCGGACACGCTCCTCCGTGTGCGGTCTCCGGCCCACCTCAGGATCCCGAGAGAGTGATCGGAACTTGGCTGGTGAAGGAACCCCCTTAGGGTGGGTGGTGACAGGAGGGCCAGAAGGGGTTCGGTTCAAGTTGCAATTGCCAGCAGTAGATCGCTTCAGGGGGCTCTCAGGCAGAGGCTCCATAAGCAGTGGAGTGCTACGGCAGCTCTCCCCAGTGTTGTAGGCGCTGGTGCTATCTTTGTCTGATTTCTCTGGCAGTTCCGAGATATCAGACAGCTCGTGCTTTTTGGGCTCACTGGCTGCCAGGTCATAGAGGCTCTCCTCCTCCAGCAGCCAGGCCTTCATACAGCGCTCCCGCAACTGCTGCATCTTCTGTGCCCGCAAGATGTTGCGGCACTTGAACTCTAGGTGCCGAAGCTCCTCCTCCAGCATAGCCATCTCATGGCCTAGGCTCTCATTGCGGTTGACATCCAGGGCACTGTTCCCACTGGAAGCCCGGGAGAAGAAGATGCCTAGCTGGTTGCCATTCTCTAGGTGGCACTTGATCTCCAGCAGTTCCCGGTAGCGTTCATACTCCTCATCAGTGAGCCCAGGCAGGTCAGCCCCTCCCAGTCCTGCCCCCTCAGCCAGCAGAGAGTCCATGCTGAAATGGAAGTCCCTGCTTTGCAGGGCATCCCCTTGCAGGCCAAACTTGCGTAGGCTTCCAGGGGTGTTGGTGGTACTGGGAGGCTCATCCCCCAGCAGGTCATGTTCAGAACTTTCTTCATTGCGGGTACTCTCATCAGTCCGGCCCACCCCGCTGTCTAGCTCCTGGCTGTTGCTCAGTCCTGGGCCCCTATCAGGAGCCCCCTTCTCATCATTTCCAGTCTGGAACAGAAATGACAAACACAGTGAGTTAGGTTTCTACAGACAAGTGTCATGCAGTAGGAGTAGAAAGAAGTTCATGGCTTGTTCCTCTCCAGGCCCAGGCCAGGAGCCCATGTACACCTACAGTCCCTTTCTCTTTCCTTCCTCTCTCTTGCCCTCCCCACTTATCAGGCCTTTGTCCTTCCTAACCTGCTGGGTAGGGGGTGACTTCTGCTTCCGGGCACGGAGGTCCCCTTCATTCTCGGACCCAAAGTCATCTAGGAAGTCATCTCTGTCACTGTCTTTC